GCGCTGCGTTCCAACGTCGGTAGTGTTTTCGCGTATCCACGATAATGTTTAAACATTTGTACTTTTTTATGGGATAGAATGCACTAAAATATTTTTGCACGAATTGTTAGTGTTATAGAATAAGTTCGTAAATTTTTTATTGTTTAACACAAGAAGTCAGTTAAATTGTCAATTGTTTATTAGGAAATTTATTATTATTTAATATTAAAAAATAAAAATTTTCCAATATGAATATTTTTTTCGATTCTGCTACTTTTTCTGAATACACCATTAAAATTTGGTTATTTTTCATTGAATACTTACGGAAATATAGCAATTAATATATAAAATTGATGAAAAGAAGGTCAAAATTCATTTAAGAATAAATTTTTGAAAAATTTAAGTTTTAAAAAAAAATTTTAAGACATTAATTTCCTCCGACTTGTGGCGTGCGCCTTGATGTTGTCACACAAAGCGGAGGGACCTACAGTTTTACGCCGACTCCGAACGGCGATTGTATTTTTATGAGAAGCTGTTTTCATCGCCGAGGGACGACCGCTGTTAAGAAAAAAACTTTTTTCTATATATTTTTTTTTGCGATGTTGCTTTGACCAGGGCTTGAACCCAGGTGCTGATGTGTGAAAGCGCGCACTGCTTACCACTACACCACAGCGGCCGATTTTCACATATAGACCTTTGAATATATGCCAAAACATATTTGAAATTCTAATATTAAATTTTTAGTGGCCCTTTTCAGAAAGTTTGACTCGTTTCAAGGATCATTGTTAATTTTTTTGGAAACATGTTCGCATGCACTTTGTTATTTTTTAATTTCGTCGTTTAAAGTGCAAAACCGCGTATCAACAAAATGCAAAACCGCGTATCAGCAAAATGCAAAACCGCGTATGTGAATTTGTAGAAATTATTTTCTAGATCGTAAAAACACTCATATTTCAAAATGGTTATCTTTTTTATAAAGCAATGGCATTTCTGCTAATATATTTCAGGACGAATGGATAAGGATTGGGCCAAGAACTTGTGTGAGCAAATCCAATTTTTGGCAGCCAATGTCAGTTACGCGGTTTTGCAGAATGACGATACGCGGTTTTGTACTTTAAACGGCGATTTACATAATCTGCCTTATCCTGAGTTTCGGCTGAAAAAAAATCACACGAAAATTTGTCATCCGCATATAGTAAAACCATGTAAACCAAAAATGAAAAGTGAACCGGTTCGGGGAAAATGAAACTCATGATAGTGCTAAATATGTACAGATTATGTACATATAATATATACAAATTTATTTCATTGGAAGTTACTGGAATTCATTGACATTTCGAAATTTTATATACCACTGGAGTTTTAATTAAGCTTTTTGTGTACTCATTTGTTTTCTAAACAAATTAGCATTATAATTATATGAAAAGTGTACGCAAAGATTGCTTTAGATTTTCATTATTCACCTCAGACTGCAAAAAAGACTAATTAGTCATGAATAACAGAAAAGACTAATGACTTCAATTTTGGAGTCTTTTGTCAAACAAGTGATTGATTGGCTGCAGTTAAAAAGTGTTAGTCAGTGAATGTGACTGCAACGATTTAAAGTCACGATGACTGCATTCTTTAACACCTCTGCTTGTAGTACGGTACCCCCCCCTCCCACCACATAGATTGAAAGTACTCCCTTTTCAGGATGTGCAAGATTGAATGCTTTTTGGTGGTAAAACTGACGTTGGTTCATATTTGGGTATTCCAGCTCATACATACAATTCCCCTTGATTCCGACTACTTTTGATTTTATACATTTTGGGTCACCTATTTTGAAGGACTTCGTTGTGCTTCGCAAATTATACCGTTTTGAAGACAATTCAAATCTTTGTCAATATTTTCACTTAGAGATTTTCGAATGAGTTTTAGCTTGTCAGACCTTTCAAGGATATTTTCATCCAACGAATTTAACTTCCTGAGAAGCTCATACTCGCTAGCGTGTGACCATCTGCGGACCAAAAGCACCATAGTACGGAGAACAGCAAATGGTCTGATGGTATGCACTTCGGAGTGCTTCAGCTATGGTAGACAAATGCTTATCCCAGAGGGTTTGGTCGTTCTTAATGTAGGTTCTAATTCCTGCCACGATCGACCGGTTAACCCGCTCGCTGGCATTAGCCTGAGGGCTGTAAAGGTCAGTGTAAACATGGCGAATGCCACGCTCAGTCAGCACGTTATTGAGAAGGGAGCATTCAAATTGTTTGCCATTGTCGGTCAAAATTAATTCCGGCGTGCCGAAAATTGGGAAGATGTTTTCATTCATGAAATCACAAATATCTGACGCATGAAACTTTTTTATCGCTCTTAACAGAGGGAATTTGGTTTGATGGTCCAAAAAAATTAAAATTCCAATATCTTGGGTAAGGCCCAAGCAGTGTTGCCACTTTGTAATTCCTCAAAACGTGAGGAATTCCGGGGGTGCTTGAGTATTTTTTGAGGATTTTTATTTTGAGGAATTTTCTATCGATATATTTGCAGATAACAAAACAAATGCAACCATATTTTACACAAGAGAGTTGTTAAATCGCTCTGCAAATTTTTGAACAAAAAACTTTCCGAAGTTTTATAAAGAGCGAAATACACCACACAAGCGGCTTGTCAAACATTCTTCAAACGTACTTTTCCCATTTCGTCATATACCATGCAAACATGACTCGTTCAAGCAAAGAGTTTTAGTTTTCTTCCAGTTCACAATGTAAAAGGGTTTGGTTTTCTTCAATTTTTTTCTCTTGAGTCCTCATTCGGTAAAAATTCCGTTGTGGCCAGAAAATCAAACAATTTTGATTTTTGTTCCCATTTCCCCCAAATGGCTTGTCAAACCTTCAAAAACCCCCATACACAACATAAATAGCTTTTAGCAAAGGGATATTTCGCTTGGTTTGTCAAGCCGCGTGTGTGGTGTTTTTCGCTCTTAAGCACATCTGCATTTGTTGCTAAATATTCAAATGTTATCGGGAATTTTTTCCCTTCCGTCGTTATATTTTCAACTTATTTTGAACTTGCATAATCTCGATAACGAATGGAGAGGGCACGCATTGTTCAATCATAAGGACATTCATATTGATTCTTCATTAGATCCAGAAAATTTTAGGAAAAAAGTTTTTGAATTAAAGTGTCTTTAGGTTCATATAAGTTTCCCAATTAAAAAAATTATATCTGCATTACTAATATATCCCTTTTCTAATGCTTCAGTAGAACGTATATTTAGTAGTTTAGAAATGTGTAGGACTGACTTGAGGACCAGATTGAGCACTGATATATTTGCATAAATATTATATACCAACCAAGGCATACAAAATAACCATGACACTTTGTTTGAACCGCAAGAACAAATGTACCCATTGAATTGGAGAATGTAATTAATTTTTGTGCTAAGTAACTGTAAATAGTATATAAGAAAATTTTGAGTAATTTGTTCGGATTTTGAGGATTTTTCATGTTTTTGAGGAATTTGGTAATTCTTTTGTGGCAACACTGGGCCCAAGGAGATCTACATAAAGTTTCTGGAAAGGGCGTTGCTCCTTATATTGGACGGACATTGATGGACGAAGTGAAACATTTCGAGCTTTGCTTTGGCGACATACATCACAAGTAGTGACAAAATTTTAGACATCTGCTGTCTATTTATTTGGTTAAGATAAGTTTCGCTTTAACCGCTCCAAAGTTTTTCCTATTCCACCGTGACATTTATTTGGTGGGTTGTGGGCATTTTCCATTACCTCAAGGGTCCAGCTTTGCGGAATCCATAACTTCCAATTGAAGGACTCATTTTCTGGGTTACCATCGGGATGCTAGGTGCGAGGCAGACGTTCTTTATTTTGCGGACCTGAGTTTTTAGTTTCTCGTACTCATCGGATGTAAATTCGGAAGAATCTAAACGAATAAGCGGGTTGACTTCCAACGGACTTGCTTCAGTGCCCCCATCGGAATTTTGTCTTGAGACAGTCTGGCACAACATTTTGACTGCCTTTGCGATGCTCAATTTTAAATTTGCAAGCCGTCCAGAAAGGTCGGTCTGCCGCATTAGCCATTTCAGGCTATCGTGATCGGTCACGACCTTAAATTCCTGACTTTCAACATAAGCCTTGAACTTCTTTAAGCTTAGTATCACGGCCAGACAATCTAGCTCGGTAACGCTGTAGTTCGCTTGCGCTTTATTCAGTTTCTGCGAAAAGTACGCAATCGGTACTTCCACGCCTTCGCAGTTACGCTGAGGTAGAACGGCCCTGACACCAAGCTTAATGGCACCACAATGAATCAGAAAGGGCTCATTATAATTAGGATATGCTAGAACTGGTGCTGTCCATAGTCTTTCTTTCAGATGATCAAATACGGTTTGAGCTTCTGTGATCCACTCAAAAACTTTCTTGCGGAGATTGGTATGTGGGGTTGTTAAGGCAGCGAATCTGTCGACAAATCTTCTTGGTTATCGATAATCTGTCACTGCCGAAATTTTATCTGGGTCTGCTCTCAGTGTACCATTACCTATTATGTAACCTATGCATTTAGCTTCTTTTAGGAAAATTTGGTTTTCTGGACTTGATTCTGAGACCAGCTTCTCTTAGATGATGAGCAACAGCAGACAACACGGATATATGTACATCGCAGGCCTCGGACACAATTAGCAAGTCGTCTAAGTAGACAAAGACATGATCTTGGAGCTTGGGGAGCGTTACAGAGGCCAAATGGCTCTGCGAACAATTTTAATTTTTTTTTTTTTTGGAATGTTGATGTTATTTTTATCGCAAAAAATGCAGAAATAAAGAAAATAATTAATCAAAAGGTAGTTAAATGTCCATCCATACACTAATTTGAATATTTTTGTCCTTTAATACCCAAAAAGGGTACTGATTCCTACTCGTCCGTTTTCGCAAAAAGCCAACATGTCAAATAAGTCGAAGTAAAACTAGCTGCCCTTGTTACTCCACCAGGTATAATTATACAAGTGATTTATAGTACAATATTTAACAAACCTATATAAAATTCTGTTGTCCAATACAAAGTAGTATAAGAAATCAAAAACTTTGCTGTTGATAGCTGCATCAATAAGTTGCTCATCATAAACTATGATTTTTGAGGCAGAATTTGGTACCTGCTGTGATGCGTGTCGAAACCCAGTCAATGCTAAACCGAATGCCATTTTTATTATTCCGTTTAGACCATCCTGATTAGTAGAAACCAAAACTTCATACACAGTTTGTAGAAAGTCTCCTTGTGATAGAATAGGAATATTTTGCGAAGGAGAAGTCGGTGTTTCATATTTGAGTAAAGCACTCGTATCACATGCGTATAGTAAAGCAAAAAGTGCTGTTAGTGTTATATCATCTATTACTCCCGACGCTTGAGCTTGTGCAAGCTTTGGCAAATTTTTAATTAGCTTAACAACGATGCCTTTCGGAAGTCCACGTTGCGCAGCCCAATAAAATAAAGTAGTTGCTAATGCCATTTTGATGTCGTTGTAAAGTTGTTGCACTTGGTTTTGATGTTTTTTTGACCCTAATGCTCGATTTTTTGTTAATATAACGATCTATAAAATAAGGAAAAAATAATAACTTTATTTAATATATTGCCTAGTAACATTTCTGTTAAATTTTTTGTTATAAAAACATTGCTCAAATATTTAATATATGGACATTCCCTTGTGGTCAGTTGATTAAGTCAACTGACATTTTGACTAGTTTCGGCTATTTTTCTTTTGTTTATTGAATGCTTATATCTATACTATTATATAAAATTGATTATATGGAGTACGTTTGTAACGACTTATTTCTCAAAGTACTAAACCGATTTTAATATTTTTTTTTTTAAACGAAGCATTTGTAAAAAGACGCAGAGTGGCGTACTTATATTTTTTATTCTTGGAAGATAAGCACCCCTTTTTACAACGCTTTTATCAACTTGCAATGTTGTGGGTCCAGAAACTTTCAATGTTGTGGATCCAGAAACTTTCAATGTTGTGTGTCCGACACCAAAGCAAAGCTTTGAAAAGTTCCTATAAAAAAGCATAGTGCATAGGGCGACAGCTGTAGTGAATAGGGCGAGGTAGATGCCATCTAGATGTCGCCCTATGTACTACGTTTGCTACAGCGGAAATAGACGACAAGCCATTTCTTTAAATAAAATTAATTGGTGCTCGTTTGTATGTACATACATATGTAAATGCATGTGTGTGCACCTTTCTATTAATATCGTTGAATTATTTTAATATCTATTGCAAAATTTTATTCAGACAGGACTAAAAAGTAGAAAATAAATAATATAAAAAAAACTTTTTAATATACAACGCTTTTATAAATGGACTAAAAAGTAGAAAATAATA